AATAAATAAAATAAAATACAGAATATAAACTAATTAAAGTCCTGTGTCAAGAATTAGGTATATCTTACGTTTCTGAATTTGTAATAAATCATAATTCAATTTTGCGGTGCTTATGCGTGTTACATTTTGACGGAAAACCAAACTTCTGAACTTTCTACAAATGTAAATGTAAGTGTAGAGTCAGTGGCAGAGCTTGTCTATTCAGTATCTAAGTGCAAATGACAAAGCCTGGGTTAAGTGCAAGCTCTACAAATTGGATAAAGCCTAACTCAAACAGCTTCAAAGAGAAAATCGATGCAAAATGGCCAGAAATTGTTAATGGCATATTTATTCAGTTATTTTGCCACAGCTTTTCTTCCCAAATAATATCACTATATATTTCAGAGACTAGTCTGCTCAGTAGGCCTTGAGGAGGTGGAACTCATGACCACTATTAGGACCTGAATATACAATATCAGGAGCAGAAAAAAAACAAGTGCACATAAACATCAATGCAGAAAAGTTTCAAATGTTCATTTTAAAATGGCCAGCACTGACCAAAACAAAAAAAAGCATACTTCTTGCAAAACATATTGATTGTGCTTTTGGCAAAAGAAATGATGCATATTTTTATGAGCCTTTCTTGAAAAGCTATCAAACCTTTTTTGCGCCTGGAGAGTTTTGACTCTTCTCCATATAGATACATATATTCCATCTGTTGGCTATGATACTGTACAAGTGTCACCTAAACCACAATAAGGCATGAAATCACCTGGTGTAAGAGTGAAGCATGAGGACTTCACTGGATCACTTCACAGTCCACACAAGTTTAAAGGGTGATAATATACTTGTGAACAGCAGGAATGATGAAACAACATCTCACTGGTCCAAGAATTAACAGACGTAATACTAAATATTCACTACTAATGTCCAGCAACTTGATTATTCTATAGGACAACGACTAGTTGTGAGCACAAACAGGTCTCGTGCTCTGTAAAGCTGAGACGGACTTTGTTTCGGTCTCTCTGAGAAAACAGTGGGTTTCCTGACACTGAGCCCTTGCGTGTGGACATACTACAGCAGGTGTATATGTCTGTGTGTGAACGCACAGCAGAATATGGATCCAATAAGCCTCAATATTAAAAATGCCCAAAGACAGCCATATAGGATATCATCTCGTTTGAAATGTTTTGTGGTGTGTATGTAAGAGATGGTGATGAGAAATCACACTCACAGTGATATTGATTTAACTGCATGGACTATGTGCTGCAGTGTTGACATACACCTTGTCCTACATTCCAGTGGAACATGTGTACATGCATACCAGCATGAAAGTGTGTGCTGCAACGATAACACAGCAGAAAGCATGAAGTGTGATTAAGGGAGGTCATAGTGCCAGTAACAGTGGTAGTACAGCATTGTTGGCAGGAAAATACTCAGTGTTGTTGTTAATAACTAAATCAAAAACTATTAAAAAAAAAGTTTTCCTTCATTTAGGTGAAGTTAAAAACGTACATGATATTAGATGAAAAACAAAAATTTGAAATGTTACTAAAAATTACTAAAACATGAATTTAAAAAATATTGCTATTTAGCTTGTGACAAAAAATGACAAAAGCACTAAACATAATTACTAAAACTTAAAGTAAAATAAAAAAAACAGAAATCTAAATATTAAAATTAATTCAAGATACTATCATACTACATAAATAACAGTAAAATAACACAGAAAACACTATACAGATGTACCTGAAAAGTATTCAGAAGAGTAAAACTGTACATTGTGTAATTTAAGACTTTGAGGCTGTACATATTTTCTCCTCCCTGTTCTGCACAGACAAAAGGTGCGAGAATTCCGGTAATTGACTCCAGTAACATTACTTCCCTAACTAGCGCTCTTGGGTTAGTTTCTGTTTATAACTCATTTAACAAACAGCAGGTACAGATTGTAGTGCAACTTGTGCACTACATTCCAAATTTTCTGATGTTAGCTTTGTGTGAGAAAGAGATTGAATTTCACTCATTATCTTGGCCTTCCCAAGTAGTTGCCAGTTTCTGGTCTCCATTGACTTCTATAGTAATTTTTTTCCATACCATGGGAGTAAACGGGGGACCAGAAACTGTTTGGTTACCAACATTCTTCAAAATATCTTCTTTTGTGTTCAAAATAAAAAAAGAAGCAAACTACTAAATGTTTGAAACTACTTGAAGGTGAGTAAATGATGACAGAATTTTCCTTTCTGGGTGAACTATCCCTTTAAGGCAAATAATTCATTGGTTTAAAACATTCCCTGCAGCTTTTCTGACCACTGAAATGCTAACATGCAGACACGCACAGTGAGACGCATCACACACATTTATACCTGCACTACCAGTCTTGTAGGCCTCCTCGCAAACACATACAGAAGACAAGAAAGTTACACAGTGGTAATATGCTCTTCGAGTGGCTGACGTCACAAACCTCGTGTAACCCTGCCAACTCAGGAGTTAAATTTAGATCTTGGGCACTGGTCCCAGACACTGCAAAACAATGTGATACCGCAAGCACTGCTTTAGCTAGAGAATACACACACGACTGCTGGATGTGACTTCAGGACTGATAAAATGTGCACACAGATGCATTAAACACACTTGAAGGGAAGTATTGTTAACTTTAAGAACTGCAACTTGGTTCAGAGGTGAGTTCGTTCTGAAAACTAAACTTTCAGAGAAAGACATGAAGTCTCAAATGTCCATAAGCCAACATGAAGCGATTGGTCCTGTAGATTTCTGATGCTGCGTTTTGTTTTTATAAAATCTACAAAGGCCTTGTTAATACGTGGTATTAAAATCCATTTCAGACAATGCATTAGAGATGGGATAGCACTAAATACAGGTTTCAAAATACCGGCTCGATTTAATTTGGACCCTACAGTAACAGACCAGTGTTGTTTTTGTTAACTAAAACTATTCCAATTGTTTTCATGATTTGAAAGAAATCTGAAATAAAATCAAATGTAAATATTAGATGAAAAACTGAAACGTACAAAACTTACAAATTTGGCAACTAACAGAATTCAAATAAGTTTAAGTTGAAAAACTAAAATCACTAAAAGTCAAACTGAAATAAAATACAGCTAAATAGATTTTAAATAAATAAAATTAAAACTTAAATTAAAAATGAAAAAATTAAACCCAATTCGAAATATTAATATGTAATATATGCATAATACTAAAAATAACACTAACAGACTGATGTAGTGAATGATGCATGTAGTGACTACATTAAGAGACCCTCGCTTTGACGAATCTAAACAAAAAGTGGACGAAGGAGATGCACATTAGAACCAGGTGAAAACAACAAGTCTCAACTGCCTACCTATGATTTGATCACCCAAAACAGATCTCAATACGAGATGTAAAGGAGGCCTCAAAGAGATACTACTGGAGTCCTGAACCTCTGGGCTGAAGACTGCAAGGTTGCACCCTCCTTATCTCTTAGGGTTAAGATAAAATGTCATCACCTTACACTGGTTTCAAACTGATCTGCCATGACACACATGACTCACAAAGACTTGAACACAAATGAATACATGAACACATTTTTTTTTTCTAGAGAACTGACTACATAAATGTCCTTTTAACATGTAGACCTAACTATCTGTTCCATAATGCATGTACAAAATATGAAACTAATACCTTAAAAAAAATGTACAGGTGAAAGCCATTAAAGAGTGTAACTCAAGATAACAATATTCATCTGTATAAAGTAGGCATAATTTAAAAACAATTAACATGAAAGACTTTTTACGTTGTTATTTATCCAGTTAGCTTGCTGGGGAATACTGACTTTACCTAGAGAGCATGCATGCGCATGCAGCAATTTCCTCGCATAAATTTTGTCTACATAGGCAGCTCGCCGGGTTTTGACACACAGCCACTGTGTGGGGGCATAAGACCCTAACTCGACTTGATACAGCCACCTAGCTGCAGCACGGTGCTCATGTGGAGAAAAGACAGAGAAGCAGTGAGCATGTGGTCTCTTTAAATCGCAATGACTCTTATGTGAAGCATTTGTTGCCTGTATACAGGCTCACAGTAATGCCCACATCGCACAGGGGGAGGTCGACGACACCGGCCATTAACGCTTTGAGAACTACCTATGTCATCCTCAGAAAACAAAGTCACTTAGCATTTCCAAGAGGAACTCACCGCCTTGACACAAAAGGCAAAGACACGACGCTCCTCCGCAATAGGTCGAGATTCAAGTGACTGATTTTTAACACTAACTTTTCTGTGGTGGCGTCTGAACCGAGAGTCTGAGACTGATCCCAGCATACTGATAAATGCTCATGCCTGCAAGTTTCCCCCCACCGTAGCCATCCTATATTTTTCATAAAATGATAT